AATTCTCTGGTGTCATTCAAGGAGAAAATGCAAACACACTTTTGGGTCAAGAATCATGACTTGTGTTGGCCAGTGTTGCCCAACTGCTTTTGAAAACAATATGCTATCTTCAAATAAGCACAGGATTCCACACTGATGAAAAGCTAATTGTCTTGAAACAAAGCTACATCAACTCAGACAAATCATGCTGAAGTGAAGGGGTATGAAGGGAAGTTTATGATGAAAAGCTAATTTTCTTGAAACACAGCTACATCTACTCAGACAAATCATGCTGAAGTGAAGGGGTAAGAAGGGAAGTTTTTGACCATAGCATGTCTGTGCATTTCTTTCAGCACAAAGAAATGGGTAACAGAATGAGGAAGAACCTAGAGACAATGTAAATATATTCCAACTCCATCACAACAGAGTCTGCGGGTTAAGCTACTAACAAGCACATAACCTGGACCAACCTACGTCTTTGATAGCAGTAGTGAACAGCTGATTTTCATCATAAACAGAACAAGGACACATAACAATCAGGTTGATGTCAGTCAGAATAAATAAGTCAGATTAAGGATACGGCCCTAAGAAGTCAAGTTCTTCATCAAAACTCTTTAAAAGATCTTCTGGTATGGGTTTCATGTGTTTAAGTTGCTTCAAGGCAGCATCATATCTGCAGAGGTAAAAGCGGATGAAGAACAGTAAAGTGCAGTCTGGAAGCAAGAAAGAAATAGATGACAGAACAAATAAAATCGATATTACATTTCACATACATATGGGCATGATGGAAAACTGCAACTGCTTCTCTAAAGGATTTTGAGTATTGTTCAGGCACTTGACTTCCTTTCCCAAACTTTAAAACAGAAAGAACCTATAAATGAAGAATGAATGTGAATAAAAATTCAAGGTTGCTTCATTTAATGACCTATAAAGCAGCCTTGCAAGGCCACAACTGCTCTTTCTTCTTTTCTATTTACATTTGAAAAGAGTTTCATGACATTGTTTTCTCCTTAAGGACAGGAAACATTGGCTGATTTCAGAATAGTCCAATTGGATTGATCTTATCGTTCTGGAAATAAGCAAGCGATCTCTATATCAGTTTCTAAGTACATTTCAAACTTAATCAGAATACAAGCACTCGTCAGTTTTTATGACTGATGGTTATGGTGGTAAAGTTTATCCTTAAGAACACAAATAAACAAAGCTGCGATCACAAGATGGTATCTATTAGCAAACTTGATCCATGTCCCCAATTTTCTGCTTTAATATACCAGTATTCAGATTTCTCCCTCTAGTAACAACTCTCAGAAAAAGTTAAGGGTGACAGTCAAAATGCAGAAGTTAATTGTTGAATCAATATTTAGGAATTATGTACTCTACTCCCACAAAATGATGCTCTGAAGAATGTTAACTATCTCCCACTGAAATATTTTCATTGGATTTGCAGCTAAGTAAGCATGAAGAAATTAATCCGTTACTAAAAATGCCAAGCAAGTAGTTTTCTTTCTTTTCCTTTATTCAACTAAGTTAAGGGAGGGGTGAGAAGGGTGAGTGGGGTGGGGTTGATGCATGATGAGGATGATTATCTTACACGATCTAAGTTACGATACTTGGAAACCAAACTATGAGCCTTAACAATGCCAATTCCAGGGATAGATGGAAGGAAATCGCAGCCAGCTAAAACACACATACCTGCAAAGAACCAAATCCAGTGACTTTTAGGTGAAATAACAGCAAGATCCTACCTGAAAGATGTCTTCTTTCAAGTTTCTAAAATATAGCACATAAATTGCTCAAGCACACGTTCCCACAGTCCAATGATATGGAGGATCACATATACAACTAGGTTCTGTTATTGCCATTATGCTGAAGTTCATTGTTTTAGTTACTACCTTTGGCTTTTGGCCTCAAGTTTTAGGAGCTTTTGCTTTTACACTCGGTAACTTCTAAAAAAAATAATGAGAAAAGCTTGTTTAAATAAGCCACCTGTGAACAGGTTTTTGTCAAAATTCCTGAAGGAAGGTACACGATCAGAGGAACCTAAAACCTTGTCTAGAATTATCTCTTGACCATTCCCATACCGGTCCATCTTAAAGATGACCTACAAGAAACAGGTGCATATCAAACCAAAACAACTCTAGATTCCGAAAATTAATTGAGTAGAAGCATGATTTAATATTCTATATGACCGTTTGTATAATTTCTTACAGCAGGGCATCCGTAAGCCAGTAAGTCACTATCCTCTGAAACAACAGCCACAATTCCACCTTTTTCTGCTTCAAGGCTTGACAAATATGCCAATTGTGCATCAGCCTCGTATGGAGCCACAACAAACTCAATGTCTTCTGATCTCAAAACCTAAACAAAGACTGCCTTTGTTCATAATCTCAATGATAACTTCAACACAGTTAAGACAGTTGGTGCATCAAATAATACAAAAATCAGTGATCAAGTACTAGACCACAAGGAATTTTATTATATTTTTGGCGTGGCATGACAAGATAAATTTAGTAATGGCATTAGAAATTGCATCATCCATATGGGCAAAGAAGTTATGTGAAGGTTTTAGATTTCACATACAGAAGCAGGATGCAATCACAGAAGTCCGGGGTATGTAAGAACTGTGTGTGATTGTAGCAATAAGACCACGTTTTAGATTTTTGAAAAATCCTTATTATTCCCACTACCTGAAGTTGCAGAGAAATATACAATTCAAAACTATATAGATGAGAGAATTTTGGCAATACCTGAATCAGTTGGTGCGCCATAGAAGGGGAGATAGTAACTGCCCTCTACATGTGAAGGAGCAAAATCACAATATCAATTGGTATCGACTCCCTCAATTTTGGATTTCAAACAAATGTAGCAATCAAAGTTGAGATACTGAATGATGACTCATGCACAATCCATGTTATTGTGATGGCACTAAATGATTGCAATACTGAATGGTGATGACTAGTGCATGATCCATGATAATATTCAGACGGCAATAAATGACCTAGTTAAGGACAACATATTTACTCAATGACTTGTTGCATTAGAGCATATCTCACAGCCTGCTTAGCTATAATACTAGATAACGAAATTCCCATCTTTTGCATCAAATTTCCAAATCTGATGATGGTGGCTCATAATGTTTGATTCAATGACTAATTCTTGAATAGTAACCACTCCAACTCTACAAACTCAATCATTGAGGAAGGCCATCTATAGTGTGAAAAATTAACAAAACACAAGGAGCAGAGTGCTTTGATCATTAAAAAGAGTTTGTAACAATTGGAAGCGCTCTAATTGAGCTACATACCTACATGTTCTGAACTAATTCTATTACCAAATGTAAAGGTTGATTAGAGAAGAAATTTCAGACAACAGAATTCACTAGAAACAGCAAAAAAGACTATAAATTTTTAGTACTCATGACAGGGATCAACTACTAATAGTACTCGACTATATACGCCTGAAGATGACTGTAGCACAGTGAAAATCTTTTAAAACGCTTTAGCTAACAATAAAAGCCCATCATATGCAATTTAGAATTTTCACAAATAAGTGTCATCTTTTTAAATGCTCGTGCATTTGCGTGATTTTACATATTTGGCAAACTTAAAGAATCAAAGAGTACTGTTCATCCAAGTAAGAACTAAGTACTAAATGCTGTAAGTTGAAGAAACAGCAACTGACAAACTTAAAGTTCGAGTAGACTGGTTGTACGATAGTACCTGAAAGAGCTCAGAGGCAGCTGAAACATCACCTTCTTTCAATTTCTCCATTGCTAATTCACGATTTGCTTTTCTCTTCCTGAAGAACCAGTGATTACACAAAAATCAAAACTTTTACTCAAGAAAAAAAAAAAGATTGCAAATGGTGTAATAGAAGTTGCAAAATGGTACCTTTCCCTCTCATCCTGTGTCACCGCCTTACATGGGATGTTTCCTCCATCAAAAACAACAATAGGGGTGATTTTATGGTGCCGAAGTAGATTTATTCGATGCATGAAATATTTCAAATACTGCAATTTCTTGTCACCCTCCATATTAAGGCTTAGCTCCATACTACAAGAATAAGCTGAAAAAACCCAGAAAAAGTCCCAGCATTTCGTTATCCCACTTAAAATCTCTATTTTTAGGGAAAAAAATTAAAATGAAATCACTGAAAATGTGATTATGTTTAGAAGCTCAGAGATACCTCCTTTGTGAAGCCATGAATAAGCATCAATGCCCACCTGTGACAAAGTGAAAAAAAAAAAAGAAAACATTTTAAAATTTCATAAGGAAGAGTTTCATAAATGAGAAAAAAAATTTACTTGGGGTAGATGAAAGAAATGATCTTTACACGCTTGCCGGCATATTTTTTGATGTGAATGGATTCAGTGTGGGGTTTCAAGAATTTTAGAAGATCTTTGATACCCATTTCCTATTTTTCTTGCGAACTTTTCTGGGTTTTATTTTTTTTTTTTCCCCTCTATTGGTTGAAAAGAAGGATTTTGATTTGGTTTCTTGATAAGCAAAAAATGGAGATTGGAGCAGCAGCTGGGAGAAAATGGCGGGAAGAAAAGAAAGAGCTTTGACGAGGTCCCAAGTTTATGCTTACCGTAACTAAAATTACAGCCGAAGCTTAACATATCCGTAACAGCGCTGTGATGGAATTCTCGTAAAAGTCCGATAGTGAGAAAGGTAAGACTCTCAATCTGTGGTCACGTGGCATTTCCCAATCCGTTGTTGTTTTTAATAGCTCACCTCTTCACTATAGGAGCAAACTGTACTTTTACCGCGGGATTTAAAATTTCGAGTCACGTGGGAAAACTCCCGCGAGTATCATCCGCTGGGATGATGAAATGTGAAGGCGTGTAGGTTTAGGAGTGAATATAAATAGCCAAAGATCACGCCTTTGTCTTTTTAACACTAATGCGTGACAACACCAATTCCGAACGTAGTAGTATTTCTACAGAAGTCACGCCTTCATATATACCTCACTTGACCTTAAACTTTCTCGAGTTGACTAAGAAGATTGCAGGAATCAGATACACAAAGGAAACAGGACAGTTTGATTGCATAGATTTAAGCACATTATACAACATTTAGTTCCTGTTTTACTTACATAAGTACAATGATTACTGGCACAAACTAAATCAGGTTGCAGGTCTAAGATAGAGAGGTAAATAGTTCTTGGGATTTGGCTCTGAGTGCCACACTGAGAATGCACTTGAACTAGTCATCCATTTCTTTGTCATTTCAGGAAAGTGTCTGTCGATAACATCTTTCAATGTCTCTGTGCTGTTAACCCATTCCAAGCCCTTCTCTGTATAGGCTTCTTTGTTAAAATTAGTCGTAAAGAACCTATCAACTTCCAGCCTCCTGAAAATATTCAGAGTATGTATCAATGAGGCAGAAAACCTGCTGACTTTGAATAGAATATGGCTGGTGTATTTCAAGGAATTGAGATATACCTTGATGCAATGAGGAGAAATATGAAAAAAGCACTTTCACTGATGGCAAAGCCTTTGATTTTCCGCTCTGCATGTAAACCAACTTGGAGATCTAGCTTCTCTACATCATGTCCGTAGACTTCCCTGAGTGCTTCGATTACTTTTTCATCATCAGTTAAATCTTCCCATTTGCTTATTGGTATCATAAGCAAGTTCCTCCTGAATTCGTTGTATCGCGCAACTCCCCTCTCTCTATCTCTGTAAACTGAATAAATAATGTGTCAGAAGTTAGTTTGACCTTAGATATATAAGAAATATGTTCCGCATGTAATGTAACAAGGGGAAAAAGAAGCTAGAAATTAACTAATAGATGCATACTCTCCAATGCAGCCATGTCTACTGGATCTAGCCTCTCTTCTCCATTGATGTCATGAGCAATGAGGTTCCTCATCCATGATGGAAAATTCCACAATGTGAGAGCTCCTGAGGCCTGATGACCCAATGACAATATCATCTGCTCCATACCAATCTTTGACAGCCTTCCTTCCCCTTCTTTCCCTATCAATTCCCTCATAGGGACCCTGATTAAAGTCGCATACATGGAAATGAGTTATTTAGTCTAAAGATGCAAATTAATCGTGTACACCTTCAAATGCATGTTATTTCTGTTCGTTTCAAACATGGAGCGTCTTATAACTTACTCACTATTGCTGTAGTGCAACCACCAATTTGACCATTACGCATTGCCTCTCAATAATTCAATGATTAATGCTAAAAATAATTGTATTAAAGCTTAAATGAAGATCACTTCCATCTGCAGTAATGTGTACATGACAGCATTCATCAAGAGAAAGACATACTCTTCTTGAATTGGCGGGCATTTGTCTTCTGAGGTTGCTGATTTGACATCCCTGAGAAGAATTTTATCTGGTAAAAGAGAATGTATTCTGTAGACACTAACAAACTCTTCAGTCAAGGAGTAGGGAGTTCCATGATCCCTTGGTTGTCTGAGGCCTACCAATCCACTAAGTACTGGTCCAAACTTGGGTCCAAATAGATCCTTGACTTTCTTTCCCAGAAATCCATACCTGCACCAACCATAACTCACTAAGTTCTTGCTCTGGATGCAGTCAAACCTCATAGTTTGACCTATCAAAACCATTCTAGGAAAATAATCACAATTTAACTGCTGTTTTTCAATGGCAGGTCCAAAACTTTAACAGTCTGCATTGCAGGTTTTATTTCTTCATACATCCAACTCTTTCTTTTATCTCCTTTTGTGAAGGGGAAGTGACAATTTTGATGATTCCCATTGCCTCCATATCAAACCTTGTCTTACCAGTTAATCCTCATTCCTGCTAACAATGTGTCAGTCTTTAGAAGTTCAACTGTCCAATCAATAGTGTGAATTTTTGCAATAACTGCTGAAGTAACCAATCTTGCGTGTTGGTAGAGCTTCTCATCATCCAAGTCAGGGTAATGTTTCTGGGAGAAGTAAAAAACTCCAGGAAGATTACTATATAAGGAAACATGACATTGATCTTACAGAAATGTGAAGAGACTCTAGCTTTTGCTGCTAAATGTGAAGTATTATACGATGTCCTATCTCACTCTAAGAAAAAAGTAAAAAGCAGACAGTGAAAAGCAGTAAGCATTCAATTTTCCTGTCACAACAGAAAGGCCTAGGTGCATAATGTGATATTATTGATTGGCAAACCCGATTATGATATGTAAAGTGTCAATACGAACTAGTTAAGAAGGAGAGACCAGTTTCTCTCACTATATGTGTGTCATGCACTGATGTAGGCATAGGAAAAAGTTCAACTTACTTTGAGCATATCACAAACAGCATTATGCTCTTTGACAAACAAGGCCTGCAAGAGTGAGAAGCCTGCCCATCCATTTCGGACGTCTCCAGATATGGGGATATCCTTAGCATCATGTTCAAGGAGTCCATTACTGGAGATCTTTAATTTTCCATCTCTGAATGTTCTCACCCTAACCATGCCTTCTGTATTGTTCCCATAAATCACACTTCCATCCCTGATTGAGTCAGAGGAAAAAGTCAGAAGGCATTTGTATGGGAACAAGATACTGAAAAAAAAAGAAACTACCTATGCTTGTTTAGTCACAAACTAGATTATAATATAGCATAAATAAACATGATCTATTACTTCTATCATTCCTCTAAATTCTAATACAAGTGCAATATTTCATACTTTTAGTTACCCATTTGCAAAGATTTTCAGTAGCATTAGATTTGATAGAACGTATCATGTAATTAGCCAAAATGGTTTTGCTTACCACCATGGAGTCCTCATATTTAGAAATCCAAATTTGGGATCAGGTGAACCTGTTGGAAATCTTTTGCTCTTCAAGAATCTAAACGACTTCAGTGGACACCTTTCTGCAACTTCATCAGGGGCCCTAAGTTCCATCTATCAATAATTTTAGTTACCATCAGCTTCGCTATCACGACATTACAAAGCACACATGCGTGCATCTTCATCGTGATCTCTATCAGTACCACACCATATATTTCAGAAGTTCATTTAATGAAGAACACAAGTCAAAGCTTTTTGGACCATGTACCTTTTCCGTGCACCTAAGCGATACTGCTTTAGTGCTATTGGAGGTACGAGAAATATTGGAGAGTAAGAATTGCTAAACAGAGTCAAATATGATCCTAGGAAACATTGTGGAAATATTATGTTGTAGTCCACCAAACACTTGCAGTATTTTATACCTGTTTAGTGTCCTCCATGTGGTCAATCCAATCGTGAATCATAAATTGTATCCATGAGCATGCTATCATGTTAAATTGCTTCCCACACTCTATGTACTCTCTTCTCTCAAAGAGCTTTGTGGCTACTATTGTAGGGTGAGGATCCATCAACTGCGATGATTTAATAGTGCTTCTGAGTAAGTGAAAAACAAGTGCAACTAGAGATTAAGAAAAAAGTATAATAATGTCTGTAACAACTGAAGCATATGCATGATATCCAGGAGTCATATATTTGAGGTACGCCTAGAGAGAAACATCTAGGCCCCTTAGAGGGCAAGTCTTAAAGGGTATTGACATCAAGCTTCCTTTGCTTTAACAGAAGAATTCTTCAGTAGATGCCAAACCAACTTGCATCTCATATTTAGCATAACAAGCTGAAAATTGTACACCATGCTTTACAAAAGGAACCAATCAACCAAGAAGGATCGAAGCATGAATCCTCCCAGGAAATAAATTAACCAACAAGATTATCAATGATAAGTTCTGACACTAAAATCATCTGTTGGAGGTCCATGCATATCAAGTCTCAATTCAATGATTGAGACATTTGTTGATGACAAAGTTCCCATCTATTCCAACAGAAGTATGAACAAATTATAGTAGTAAATTTCTCTGTTACCTTTAGCAGAATCAAAAGGCTACAGCAGGCAAAGTCAGAGAAATAAAAAGCGCAGTGCTACGAACTTGACAGAGGGTTGCTTTCAGGGACAAAGTTAAACATAGTAAGACTTAACAGGCGATAAACCAAATGTCCGTGAAGAAAAGGAATCTCGGTATTGAAGTCTAAGACAGCTATCTTAAATGCTTCGCAACAATCATAACTGACCACGTCCACCCCCCAACCCCACCCCAAAAGAAAAAAGAAAAAAAAAAACATAAACCTCCTGTTAAGTTTGCTGCAGTACTGGGGCTTATAACAGACAAACCTAGGCTGACTCCAGGCAAAGTCAAGTAATACAAATCTAGCAGCACTTATTTCCTTCAAATTTCGTCAGGACTGAGTTCAAACTGCAATCTATTGTGCAGCCAACACATATAGTATAAGCAGGAGTAATGGTCAAGTAAAGATGCTAAACTTACAGCATAATCTGAACTTGATGGAGGCATGTTTCGACCAAAAAATGTTCCCTGACTTCCAACCTTATCATCTGTAGGATGATTACACGTTCCATCGGCAGTCCGATACACAAACTTTCCAGTATCATATTTGCCGCCATTACTGCTTCCAACACGCAGGAGATTGTACCTCTGGTGCAAGTGCCTTCTTATACCCAAATAAGCCAATCCAATTAACACTGGCAACCTATGCCATGGAAGATACTTGTCCAAGAAATGTATTATCTGAAAAAAGGGGACAAGAATCATCAGAAGTACATAAACATGGATAACTACAAAATTATGCTCGGAAACAAAAATTAAATGCAACAAGAAAAGAAAAGGAACTTACGCAGAACAAGATTTTGTCAAACAGACACATGTTATCCATAATTTGCCTGAGTTGAGGATGAATGAAGGATGAGAAAAATTGAGAGGAAGCCATAGCAACAAACTTGGAAGCTGCTGCTCAAAGTGGGGTGAGATGAAGTTTAAGCTTGGGGAAGTACTTGAATAAACGTTTGGGTTTGATCCTCTGCACTTCACACACTATCACTCAGTGCTTGAGGGCCATCACAGTAATTGAGTAGCTGATAATACGCACTAAAGATATCATACAACATGGCAAAATGGAAAAGCTAAAGTTCCAAAGCGACAGGGCCGTGAGCCCATATAATTGATAACATGTTGTCTCTATCCTCTAGCTATGTCAATTCCATCCTCGTCAATCATTTTGCCAGCATCATGACAGAAAAATCGGGTAAAAATCTTTCCGGACAATTATAAGCTGTCTCTTGACTTTCTTTGGCTACCGTCAAGATATGATAAGACTTTTACTGCACTCTCTAGATATTTTTTTTTTTCCCAAAATGCATACTAATCAAAAGGGGTTCACTATTATTAATGCTTTTAAAATTATTATTCAGTATTCGCCCCTGTAAATTGCAATAGTTTCACGAAAGAAAAAAAAAAGTCAATCCTTCAATGAAAAATTAAAAATTGCAATATTTTCACGGAAAAAACAAATCTACCCTTCAATGAAAAATTAATGCCGGACTTAATTCTTTCTTATAATGCGTCCTTAGAGTACCAAATAGACAAATTCTTCAAATATTCATCTTAGGGAATGTCTAGATTTGGTCTCATTTATCTCTTTTCCCAGCTCCAAAATTAAAGAATGAAACACACTATAATTAAAGAATCGATAATTTGATCTTAATACGGGTTTTTATTCTTTAAGAGGGGCAATTAAGTTGAGATTCTTTAAATTTAAGACGGAATTTATTTATTTTCCTCGCAAAGAAAACATGAGAAATGACATGATGATAAACACGCACGCAAAAGCTTACGTGAGCCATTTATACACTATGATCGAACAAATTTTGCCTCGGGAAACTCTGAGGACCGGAGCCGTTGGGGGTTGAAGAAGCATTTAATTGTAAGCAAGTACAAGGCAACGATGGCATGAATTTTCTTGACAATTCTTCTTGATTAGCCTCCTTGGCTTGTTTTTAAGAACAATTCAGTTAACGTAACGAGTGTCCAATTAGTACAAGGGTTCAAGTTTTAATTCGGAAAAATGTCTAAATGCAACGGCTGCGTTAGTACTAGTGTAAATTAGACATTATTTAGAGTCTGATAATGAAAATGTAAAAATTCTTTTTTTAAGAATGCATCATTTATTTAATCATCAAGAGGACACAGATTTTCGTACTCTGGCCCATAAATGTTCAACAACTCAATCTTCAATGACCACGTGTTCCATTTACAAAATGGATATGAGCTTAGCTCAGTGGCCACCGTCAAAGTTGGTAGGATGAGAGGTCAAGGGATCAAAATGTGACAAGCCACTTTTAAGTGGCTTTCAGACGAGTGTGTAGTGTACTCATCTGGATTGGTAAGTGGTTCAATCCTCTCCGATTTTTTCTCGACCTCTTTGGGTGTCGATAAAAAAAGAAGAAGAGTGGATAAGCTTTTTTTTTTGGGGATAAAAATAGTTTATTTAAAGAATGTATATAAACCGGGAAGAGGATGCCAAAACATGGTCGTCCTCCATGTGCATTGCACGTGATTTTGTGTGAGAATTTTTTTGTTTTGATGAATATTCGTGTGTTGGAATCCAAAAGAGACTAATAGAAAGGCTCTTCTTTTGTTGTCTTGGAAGTTGGAACGAAAAAGGTTTTGCATGTATGTATGAAAAGCATAAAAAAGCAAAGCATGCATCTGTTCGGACTCTCTGTCCAATGTGCCAAGTAACACGTTTCACCGCCTCCCCTCTCAGAAACTTTCTCAAAGTCTCTCACTTCTCAAATTTTTTCCCCTGCTCTTCGGTTGCCCACCAGAACAGAATAGAAAAAAGGCAGATGACTCCTTTGTCTCACCCATTTCTCCTCACTTCTTCGTTAATGGTCGATTCCTCTCAAGCTCTCTATTCAAATAATAGTAAAGAGGAAACAAAGATGAAGGGGGAAGATGTTTGATTCATCTCAGTCATCTGAATCATTTTTTTCCCCAAATGTAATCATGGTAAACTTTCACCCTTTTTGCCTATGTTTAATGTCCCTGTTTTCTTTCTTTTTTTTCGGTAACATTTTCCTTCTTTGTTTTGATTCAGTCTCTCCAAACGCAGGAGCAAGAACCATTGTCCCTCTACTAAGATGTGGAAAAATCTGATATAGGTACCCATAATATCTAGAATTTTTTCCCTTCATAAACAATTTTGTTGACAGATTTCATTTTTTGTGGGTTTTGTTGGAACTTTTTTTTCAGAAATATGTGCCCATTTATTGTTTATTTAAAGTTTGCGATTTAGGTTTGAGAATTTATTAAAAGGTAAGGTTTGTATGACCTCATTTCTTATTTTATTGCGCATATATTTTATCTATTTTTTTCTTTCTTCTACTTTCTCCTGAGCTTAGAGCATTTCAAACCATTAATGAAAAATTTTAGGAGGTCTAAAAGGAAAAAAGGGAAAAATTTGAAAGGTTCTTCTCACGTGAGTTGTTTACTATTTTTAATTTCCAATGGTAAAATTCAAGCTGAACAAATAATTTATTGTTTGACAAGTAAATATGAAATGCAAAATTTTTTCTTTCCATTATGCCCTAATTAGTTACTCTCTTGCAGTATGTTTTATATGTCCTTTCTTCCTAATATTTCTTTGGCACATAGCATCTCAGACCATTATTGACAAATTTTAGATAATTTCTTCTCACGTGAATTTCTACCCTATTCTTATATATCAATGGTGGAATTCAAGTTTAAAACGTAATACCTTAACCTTTCAACCAATATTTTTTCTTCAGCAAGAATAACATGCAAATGTCTCGCTGTTGGAGATCCTGTTTTCTTGGCACCTTTTTTTTCCTTTTAGATTTGTTATTAGTTTTTTTTTCCAGTGTTGTAGTTGCATGTTTGAAGATTTTGTCATGGATTACTAACATTCCTTAGTGGATGAATGGTAAGTTTTATGGAACTGAAAAGTACTTGTTATATATTTTCTTTTGATCGATAAAGAAAATAGTTAGCCATCTTTCTTTAAATTTGAGGGATTTCTAAGGCTGTAAATTTTGGCTCTTGTGCAATATAGCAGAAGGTTACTCTATTCCCTAAGTTTGTTCTTGAGCATGGTAAATGTTCAATGCATTTTGGTTGGCTTTGCTTTAGGTGGTTTTACTCCCTAGCTCTTTGGAATGATCAAGAACAAATGGTCGTTTTTGCAAGGGGGCGAGGACCTTTTTGCTTGCATGGTGCTAGATAATTATCCCATTTACCAAGCTTTTATTGTCTCCAAACGAGGCTAGAATCATTGGAGTTCATAGTCAGCTTTCCTAATACAACCTGAGAACCTATATTGTATCCTACCCTGTTTCTTTAGCAAATGCTCTCTCTACCTCTCTCTACATCAGAGACACACACTACATTCTATTTTTTTTTTATTTCCTTCTATAGTTTCCTTTTTCTGTTTTTAAATAGACTAATAGGTCATCTGCATGGTTTTCTAAACACCATCAAATGTTCAAACATGTTAGAGATGCTACTTCGATTTTGTTGACTTGATATATGATGAATCAAGAAGCCAATTATATTTTAAGAGATGCTATGCACCTACTTAGATCAGAAGTTGTAGTGGTTTTACTGAAAAATGTTGTTCACATTTTGGTTGTTGATTATTATAGAAATTGACTACTGTCACATTGGCTAAGGCCCTAAGGATGACTTGAGACGTGGTGAAGAGGAGGATGATGATGATGTTGCTATTCAAGAAAAGGCAAGGCAGTGAGATGATTGGAAAAATGATAACCTACATCGAGTTGGCAATAAGAAGCTCAATTCTTATAGAGATTATTTTCATGTGGATGGTAATTCTTGTAATGTTAGTCTTGTATCTTAAAGATAAATAGATAATTTTAACTTCAGTAGCAGTGAAAGTCTAATTATCCATTTCTTAGCTTTTATCATACATTTGTTTTAGTAAATAATAATTCAAATACAACAAACTTATTTCTTTTCTGTGAATATCAAAATTGACCTGTGTCCAGCTATTATTCAATTGTGGACTAACCCTACTAAACATCCTATAACAAAAAATATTATTCTAATTTATGACTTAGTTTTTGTTAAAAGATTAACACATTAACACACTTAAAAAATATTATGCAATTTTTTTCATATATAATATTTATAACTATTAGCCAAAACTGGGTTGGGCATAATTATGATTTTCCACCATGCGCAAGCATGGTGAACATCTGCTAGTATGATTTAACTTTTTGACGGAACTAGAAAGTTACAAGCTGGGACTATATAGTTGGGAGTTGAGGACGGTGGACCATTTATCGTCCTTCTTGCTTCCCTTTTTTTTTTTTTTTTTTTTTTGTCAAGACCTATTTTCTTGCTTCCCATTTGATGACCTATTAATGCACAAGACAAGAGTTTTGATTGTTTGATAATATCACCTTGGACTTTAAAAACGAGCTTAGAAGCAATCAATTTTATGGTTGTTTGAGCGTATTTAGATGCAGCACTTTTCAGTAAATATGTATGTGAAATTTATAAAAAGAAAAAAAAATGTGGAGGATCTTAGTTAGAATATTAAGAAACAAGTTTCAGAAAAGAGTCACCTTCCAATATAACATTTACGTCCAGCATCAAAAGGATTTGGCACATTAAACTTGATGCAGTCCCGTTTGGATTACTATTTCCCGAAATTTTTGTAAATAAATATACTATAACAATTTAATGCATGTGAAATAATTAAAAAGTGTACTCACGAAAGACGTAAAAATTTTTTGACACAAAACTATAATCCGAACACCAAATTTCTTGAGTTAAAAAAAAAAAAAAATGCTGTAAATTGGATAGCCATAACTGATTATGCAACTGAAAATTTGGATTAGAATGCAAGTAAATTTGTGATTGACTTTGGTACAAGCCACTATTAAATGGCGGCATCCTTCCCAGATTGCGGTCCGTGACCATCTCATACACGTACTGGTTAAATTATGGTTAGAATTGCCTCAGCACAATAGCAAATTACACTACACCAACTGCATTCTGAATCATGACTCGGAAAGCAACATGTATTCAATGTATTGGGTTTCATCACCG